AAGACAAAGGAAAATATATATATATATATATATATATATATATATATATATATATAGCATCTTTAAATTCTAATCGCATGATCTAATTCAAAGAGATCCAACGGCTGAGCGTGTGATCTCATTTTTTTTGAAAAATAAGAATCGCTTGTTTAAAGAAATTGTTCAACTATATATAGTCCTTGAAGAAAATAAAATGATCATAGAAGTATTTTTGTAGTACCAGAGCGACCAGGGAGAAAGAGTAACCTTAATTTTTTCTATGAAATTCTGGAAGAGACAAATTAAGATAATTAATTTGTTTGATTATTAGAATTTTGTGTTTGTGTATGGCTCTCTCTAAATGTAAGTTATAAATATGAAACCATACTTAACACATGTCATATTTTGAGTGGATTGTAGCGCCACTCAACATAACCTAGTGGCAAGTTAAGTTTTACACAAATTTTTATTCTTTGACACACCTTTAGCTTGCACATGAAAATTCAACCTGTCAAACCCGATAACCATGAATAACTGCTCGAATAGGACGAATTTGGAGATGAAAATTTGACTATCTTTCGGATATGAGGAAAAACCGTAAAATTCGCCTATCTTTAAAATATAGGGACAAATCATAAATATGATTCGGTTACACACCGCGTAGAAAACATGTGAGAGGTAGCTTCTCATAACGAACATCAATCTCCACCACTTTCCCCTCCAATTGTATAGCCACACCCTGACGCAACGGTTTACTAACATCAAATCCTCACACGTATGCGTAAAACACTACCAAACTGCTCGTCCATCCTACTTTGATCCGTCAACACATATTGCCCCAATATGTTGCGTAAGAACATTCCCATCTGCTTGGTCGTATAACAGAACGAAGCCCTTTGATCTGAATCCAAAATTCCTGGAACTGCAATGCCATAGCCATTGGTTTAGTGACATCGTTAGCTTCTTCAAGAACTAATAGCGCTTGCTTATTGTATAGCCACGGACCACTCCTAAGCACCATATAACGCTCTTGATTCAAGTTAAACCCAAATCCAAATATATCATTCTCCAACTCAAATATCAGAACATTAGCCTTGGAACTCCAAATATTCCTCATATGTTGTTTGAAGCTCTCTTTATTCAAATGCCTTATGGGTAAGGATTTTACCCACAAGAAACACGTTATTCGACTTCAAGGTTAGAGCCTCTTGTTTGTCCATAAACACCACTTTCTGTTCGTCTTCCGTAATCCCAAATCGACCAGAAAACCTAGAAACCATCTCCTCCATTATGACTAAACTCTTCTCAACCCAGAACCACTCCCACACAGAGTCGAACACACCGCGTAGAGAAAAGCTTGAATGCTACTCCACACCACGAACGCCTAGACTCACACGGAGTCCTCTCTTCCCTTTGACGCGAGACCACCTTGAAGGCTTGAACCAACGAAATCTTGGATTTCCATAGGGAAGTGCCGGTCACTCTCCTACACTATGTTTGGATGAAAAAAATAAATTTAGAATTTGGATAAAAGTCGGAATTTATAAATTGACATGCATCAATTTCCTTGTTTGGATTCATAAACATAGAAATTTATAATTTCCACATGGAAAAAAAACTTGAAATTTGGGACCTCCAATTCCCAAGTTTAAATTTCATGTAAATAGATGTCATTTCTCAATTTTTATGATTGAGAGCTTAAAAATAACAAATTCCATATTCAATTATATTGTTCTTTTAGCTTAACAAAACAAGAAAATTCACAAATTCTATAAAATAAATCACATCATTTCAATTTCCGTCATTTTAAAATTCCTTAGTAATCTTAAATTTTTTCATCCAAACTAAGGTTCACAAAACCTAGAGAGCCTTTACAATAAACAGTTAATAAATCAATACATATCACTTAGGATGAGTAGTTAAGTTTATTAGCTTAGTCATTTTAACATAAACATACGAATAATTTATTTTAAACGTAATTAAATACTTTTTAAAGCTTTCAGTAATTATAGTTTTTTTAATTAATATAATTACAATGAAATATATCATCAATATTTGTTTAAAAAAAATTATATTTTTTGCCCGACAAAAAATTTCGTCGAGCAAACATTATAAATTTTTTAACTTTTTGGTTTTACAAATTTGCCTCGCCACTTTTTGGTCGAGTCAAGTTTTTAACATTGTTCAATTTGTGCGAGGCGACGAAATATCTTGGTCGGGTCAAGATGATTTCATCGAAGGTCAAGATGGTCAACACACGTTTAACATTGTTCAATTAAGGTTTCTTATTTCACTTCTATGCAGGAAGCTATTAAGGTCACACAACTCACTAATGGACCTTTGGGTGGTCTTCATGAGAAGGTTTGTTTGATCTTAAATATGTGGAATCTGTGGATATGTAACTCCAAATGTTCAATTTTATCAAATGAGTGTTGGTTGGTTGGCTATTGTAATCATGAAAAGCAATTTATTTTTGCGTGATAGGTTGAGGTGCCTTTGGAACCAAAGAATGAGCTGTCGAGGCTGACAAGTATGATAAACTCACTCTGTTAATTAAGGTCTTTGTACTTTTATTTAGTTAAATTTTCTTGCAATTTTTGTTTAACGATGCTTTCCATTCTCCTCTCATCTCAAGTTATATAGTTTGAATATCTGCGTTTTATTTGGAACTAATGGTTAATAATTTCAGGTGAACAATTTATGTGCAGAATAATGAACTCTATTGAAACACATCTATCTAATGATTGCCTGAAAAGATGGATATAATATGCATTCTCTTTGTCATTTCAGTGTAGTGATAAGCTACGTTTAAGCCTTGAATTGGGTTCCTTTGCTATTGATCACATAACATTTGTTGATGCACAAAACCGGAAGTCTTGAAACAACGTAAATCCGATCGTGAATCTGCATGAAATATAAATAACACAAGATGTATCGTGGTTCACCCCAAGGTTTGGGCTACGTCCACACTGAATATGTATTTATCTGAGGGAGAGAGAGCTCTGAGAGTGAGAGCTTTGAAAGGGGGTGAGAGGGCCTAGGCATTGGCCTCCCTAATTGTGAGGGTGAGAGGTCCCTTTATAGAATAAGGACTCCTCACTTATTACATATTTGCCCCTTCCTTTATCACTTAATTACATTTAAGTCCCTCGAGTATTTGTACGAGATCTAAATACGAGGCCCTAAATATGGTATAAACAGTAGTCCCCCAAGTCTTCAGTCAAGAGAGTTTTTTGGCTGGAGACTTGAAATTCAGTCCATGTGTGGGCCAAAGTAATTAGATGTTGTCTTGAACTGATGCTCGATATGAGGCGGTGCTCAATCTGAAATGATGCTCAATTAAAAGTAGCACATGCTGCGAGACTGCTTGGCTTGTGGCTTATGTTGCCTTGGTTGGCTCGTGGTGTGGAAGGTGAGGGAGTCCCTTTTATAGAATAAGGACTCGCTCCTCAATACATGAATGATGGGCTAGAGTTGATGTTCTCTAATGATGGTGAGGGAGTCTCTTTTATAGAATAAGGGCTCGCTCCTCAATACATAAATATGGGCTAGAGTTGATGCTCTCTAATGGTGGTGAGGGAGTCCCTTTTATAGAATAAGGGCTCGCTCCTCAATACATAAATATGGGCTAAGTCCCCTAAGTATTTTTCATGAGGCCCAGTTGAGGCCCAATATATGGTACATAATGTAGTCCCCCAAGTCTTTGATCAATAGGGTTTGTTGGCTGGAGACTTCAAATTGAATCCATGTATGGGCCGAAGTGGCGGTTGTTTGGAGGCGGTAGTTGTGTACCCTGCACTGAAGCTTTGTAGGTGAAGCTTTTACAAGTGAAGCTTTGAAGCTAGAGCTCTGTAAATGAAGCTTTCAAAGCTGGAGCTTTTGTAAATGAAGCTTTTGAAGCTAGAGCTCTGTAAATGAAGCTTTTGAAGCTAATTGACATGAGTGATGCTCATGAATGTTTAGATTGACATGAGTGATGCTCATGGATGTTGTCATGGGTGATGCTCATGAATGTTTATGTATGAATGACATGAGTAATGCTCATGTATAATTTGAAGTACTGGGCGTACTTTTGATCACCTAGTTGGTGACATGAAGGAGAGTACGGGTTGTACATTTCATCACCTAGTTGGTGGCATGAATGGCTAATTGCCAAATGATATTAGAGTACGGGTTGTACATTTCATCACCTGGTTGGTGGTAATAGCGGCAAGTTGTCGAATAATTGTGGAGTACTGGGCGTACTTTTGATCACCTGGTTGGTGGTAATAGCAGTAGGTTGCCGAATAATTTTGGAGTACTGGGCGTACTTTTGATCACCTGGTTGGTGATAATAGAGGGCCTGGCTCTTTTGGGCATATGGGCATTTGCCTTCCATATGACATTGCAGCCCATTATTTTGGGCTTGCCCTTTTTTTTTTTAGTTACCATCTGATGGGGTTTATACAGATATCTCCGAAAGATAATAAAAATAAATTACATCATTCTGATGGGGTGTTTATTCCTTGCTTTTGCAGTGTCCCCATGTGCTTCCCTTTTGCAGTGTCCCCATGTGCTTCCCTTTTGCTTTCTCTTTTCACTTTCTTTTTCTTTTCATGCGTAGGCACAATGGATTTTGATCTAAATCTGCCAATAGCATTGCTTCTATCAGTGTTTTTGCTTTTCTTCTTTGTGATCACATGACACCTCTATGACTGCACCACTTTTCCTTTACACAGTTTTCAAAAGCAGCTGGATGATTAAAGAAAGCCATATCTAATCTGGTTGTTGCATCCTCGGCATTAAGATCAGGTTCGTCCACATTATTCCTTGCTTGCCCCCTGCTTTCCATAATATCCATATTATCAGGATATGGTTCTTCACGAGACTTGGTCCCTGCTAACTCATCAGTGCCCTGAGAATCATGAGGACTGGGATCGGCTCGTACTGCTAGTCTCTCTCGAGTCACCGCTGCTCGAATCAGTGAGCGACTCGCTTCCTCCACCGCCATCGTCAACTGAAGACTTGATAGGCCCAGTCCCTTTCTTTTGCAAATTCTCCCTTTTTCTCGTTAAAGACTCCATCTTTTGAACTTCTGAAAAAGCCTGAGCTGCTGCAAACCAGAAACCATGCTCTGCAATCTACTCAAGTCATAGTCAATATCAGTGAGAGAATGTTGCACTCCAGCAACATCTTCCTTAATTGACCTTGAAAGCTCATTTTGCTCTGCCATTTTGTCATCCACATGCCGAATTCTCTGCGTCAGGTGTTTCTTTGCTTTAGTAACAGCCTTTTTCACGTTATCCAAATTTTTTGTCAAGTTCTCAACAGCAGTAGCCATACCACGCTTTGTCACATACATCATATCTGAGAATTTTAGACCCTTCCACCACATGTATCCATAACCCACTGCTCCCAAGGTAGTTGCTGGCATTATTAGTGATGTCATATTACCAATTTGGCTACCGTTCCCATTCACAAAAACCATTCCCCCGCCACGCGACGAGCCAATTTGCCTTATCTCAGCTGTCATTCGGCTAATCTGTGCTGTGAGGGAATCATAGTCACCGTCTGCGTGTTCCCCGGATCCATTTAACAATGACTGAAGATCTCCGAGCAGCTCGGATAATTTACCGTTCTTAAGAAGGATGGTGCCAGTATACCCTGCCCCAGCTAAGATCAGGATCTTGGAAACCCCTATTCCGCTCTGCATAGCCATGGTGGAGTTCGCGTTCGATCGGAAAATGCAAGAAGGTGAGGAGAGTGGATTTTTTGGGTGTAAATTGGGGATTTATGGGTTAGAGAGTATGTGGTGGAGGTGTGCGTGGCAGCCGTTTTTGGCTGGTGAAATGACAGACAGAGGAGAGAGAAAGTGAGGAAAGAGAGAGACGGATTGGGGTTTTTTGTTTACTAGCTTCAATAAAGAGGTCGAATGCAAAGCCGAAGACCAAACGCCTGCTGGTGAGCTTGCTCACCGGAGTAGAGGTCCAGCAATGCCGAGCAGGATTTGATGGAGCAGGGGACTGGAGGAGCTCATCTCAGCAGAGGCCAAGATCTTTGCTGCTTGGCGGAGGTGGAGCCAGATCCGTCACCAACTTTTCCCGCACCATTTAAGTAGAGAGAGATTTGGTTTCTTCTGTTTCTGGGGTTTTTTGGGAAAGCTTTAGGTTCATGGGTTTTAGCAAATTTGCAGATTCTGCATATTCATGGTGGAAGTGAAAAAATGAAAGAGAACCGACATAGTTTTTCGTGTCGATTCCCACAGACGGCGCTAAATGTTGATGCACAAAACCAGAGGTATTGGAACAACGTAAATCCGACCGTGAATCTACAAGAAATGTAAATAACACAAGATGTATCGTGGTTCACCCCAATGTTTTGGCTACATCCACATTGAATATGTATTTATCTGAGGGAGAGAGAGCTCTGAGAGTGAGAGCTTTGAGAGGGGTTGAGACGGCCTAGGAATTGGCCTCCCTAATTGTGAGGGTGAGCGGTCATTTTATAGAATAAGGACTCCTCACTTATTACATATTTGCCCCTTCCTTTATCACATAATTACATTTAAGTCCCTCGAGTATTTGTACGAGATCTAAATACGAGGCCCTAAATATGGTATAAACAACATTCTCACCTACAATGAAGATATGAAGAAAAGATCATGTACAGGTACTTTGTTTCATTTTATACTCAGTTGTTGTTCTCCCTGTCATTTTTCTGCTATGTCTTCTCATTTGGTTTTCGATTTTCCAACAGGTTTTCATCTGAAAAGATAAAAACGCCAAGAGGGGAAGGGGTAAGTTCTAAGCTAAAGCCACAAGTGGGTTTGTTTTTTTCTTTTGTTAATTGGTTTGGTTTTTGGATGTTTATTTTCGGTTGTCGTTAATTTTATGTTTTATGATTGAATTTGTTTTGATTCAATGAGGTTAGTGAGCTAAAACTACAAGTGGGTTTGTTTTGGTTTTTGGGTGGTTCGTAATTTTCTGCATAGATGGCATGAAAATGTTGATGCCAGTCGGCACAAATGAATTTGATCACATCATCTCTGTGATGGTTATGTTTACTAATTTGCAAGGCAGTATTTTAATATCCTCCTACATTTACAAAAATATTTTTTGAGAAGAGTTCAAATCTCATCTTTCCTTTGAATGGCAAATAAACATTGTATTGTATGACATTCTTTTATTTATTGATGTGCTTATTGACTACCCCTATAGAAACTCCTCTAGTTGTTCTTAGGTTGGATTACCTTATTAGATGCTATTACAAGTTTGAAGGAGCAGAGAGTTCTAACAAAGCTGCAATTGTTGTGTACATATATAGTGTCACGCCCCGATCCCGATATACGACCAGAATCGACATGTGACGCCACCAAATACTTGTATCTCGAACATACCTCACCTTCGGAATATGTACATAGCATAATTCAAGATCCAAATCACATAGAAATTTTTATATACTTTATGGCTGCATCTAAACTCCTCGTTAGACTGCCTACGTACCCTCAATAGGGATCAAGCCATTCGTAGTTCACCATTTCACTACAATCGAATATTCATCACATAAATCGCTATGCCTCAACCATATATCACAAAGCATATCATACAATATTACAAAGAACAAACGACGGAGCACAATCATATTCACTAGTCACAATGGTAAACGAGTCTAATCATAATTACAATAACCATAACCAACATCATTCCATAATTACATCAAACAATAATGCCAACCATCACAATCATTAATATCACATACCACTCATCGAAATGCAGGGCTAGAGCGACACAGTTCGGTTGAAGTTTACATCTCGGAGAACGGGATTTTGGACTACATAACAGAGCCAAGACAACAAAAGGGATTCCAGACCATCACTCAACAGAATCCAAACTAGGATACGATTCCGGACCATCACTCAACGGAATCGCAGAGTAGAAGGAATTTCTGACCATCACTCAACGGAATCCAAACCAGGATACGATTCTGGACCATCACTCAACGGAATCGCGGAGTAAAACCATCACTTAACGGAATTGCAGAGTAGAACGGATTCCGGACCATCACTCAACAGAATCCAAACCAGGATACGATTCCGGACCATCACTCAACGGAATCGCGGAGTAGAATGTGTAACACCAATCAATGAAACAAGACATGGATCAAGTTACTCAAGGTACAAATACTCAACGAAACGAGAATGAAATAATGACACGAGGGTTGAAACATATTTCGAAGCAACTAACCCCATAACAATAGGTTAATGGTCCACTACTAGTCCTCGCATTTCATCACATCAATCCAATCATACAATACAAACCATATTTCCAATGCACAAGTCAAATCATACTTAATGAAAATAGATCAATGGCCAAAAATAAAATAACATTTCAATAGAATTCACATTTAATCAACACGGGTCTATGGCATATACATATATAATTCACAATTCAATATAAATTTCATTTATAACCCAAATCATATTCACAAATGATATTAATATAAGAAATTAAGGTAGTAATTATATCACATATATTATAGTTACTCTCTAACCAATGTGACCCCACTAGACTTCGCTTAGTATCCCGTGGTACTAGATTTAGTATTTAAAACGTTTCAAGACATATTGATCAAAAGTCACCTCTCGGTCAACGGTAGGGTCCACTACTTACGTAATTCGATCCGGAAGATCCGTACCTTGGATTTCTAATCCATAACTTCCCAAAGTCCACATTATGCTCATAGAACCACATACTAAATTCTCATCGCTATCCAACGGTCGGATCTCCGCCAATTGCTAGAATTAGGTGGCGGTTAACAATTAATTTTACTAACTTAGAAATCTAATTCGGGAATGTCCGTACGTCAGATTTCCGATCCGTCAGTTCCAGCTATCCTCAAATATTACATTTGTTTGTACCATACTTAACCAATCCCGAAACTACTAAGCACCGGTCAACGTTATACCGTCAAGGACCCAAAAGAGTTTCCCTCAAACCAGGAGGCTAATTACAGCGCGACACGTGTTGACATCAGAAGCCAATCATAGCGCGACACGTGTCAACATCAGAAGCCAATCACAACACGACACGTGTCAAAGTCAGAATGAAACTAGAAACTCTCTTCTATAAATAGAGATCATTCTGTCATAATATTTCCTAATGTCATTTGTACTAAATCATTCACTAGTACTCATTAAAGGAGAGCTTGAACCTATGTACTTGTGTAAACCCTTCACAATTAATGAGAACTCCTCTACTCCGTGGACGTAGACAATATGGGTGAACCACGTACATCTTGTGTTTGCTTCCCTATCTCTATCCATTTGCATACTTATCGACACTAGTGATCGGAGCAATCTAGCGAAGGTCACAAACTTGACACTTTCTGTTGTACCAAAGTCCTTACTGATTTTGTGCATCAACATTTGGCGCCGTCTGTAGGAACGACACTTATTCCCACTCTCTTCAGCTTTGTTAAGCTGGTTTCCACCATTTGTACACTTTCTTTTGACTAGGCATCCCTTTCCAATATGGGGAGCGAAGGAAGCCACAGCACACAGAATGACACCCATCTTACACCTGGTGCGAAGCAACGAAAGAAAGAACAAAAAAAGTTTGCTCTTCAGGCTAAAGTCGATGAGCTAGACGCTCAGAACAACAAGACAGGGATGAAGAATGAGGTCCTCCAGGAGCAGTATGAGAAGCTCCACGAAACTAGGCGTACTCAAACACGCGAGCTTGTTACCCCTGTGGACATCAACCATTATCTGGGTGACCCCAACACGGAGGGTCACCTTCCTTCGACATGGGTATCCCTGATGAGGAGCGAGCTAATCATCAAAACATTGATCAACATGATACTTCTCTCAACCCAGCTGTTTCGACCCAAAGCAAGAGAAGTGGAGGAAGACACCTCCTTACTGAAGGAGTGGAAGGATCGAAAGTCGTTTATCGTGACTGCCAAGGCTTCCTAAAGCAACGTCGAGAGAATCCCCTCCACATATGCTCGAAGATCAATGACCCAAAGGTTTTTGAAAGATTCGATCCCCTCTCACGACCCAGGCCAGCTGTCAATCTAGGGAAGGAACGACAGGTCCCAGAGGAACATGAAGGTACATGTGACTCTAAGGTATTCTGACAGACTCGCCCTAGAAGTCAGTACGGCGAGTCTAAGAAAAAACCACACGCCCTTGCTCAAACTTTCCTACTTCCAAAAGGCGATGGAGACTTACGAAAGAAAATTCCAGTGGTACATGACTCCACTCAGGATCCCTTTGTCCTACAGCTCGTTGAGGAAGTAAACAAGTTGAAGGCCGAACGTCAGGCTAAGCTACCTGACTGGAACCAACCCAGGCCTGACACTCTCACAAGAAGGATCCTCGACACCCCCTTCAGGCGAAGACAAAACAAAAGCTTGGTTTACAACTCTATACTGGAAGGGAGGACCCAATTGAACACCTTAACCTCTTTGAGTCCACCATGGCATATCGGATGCACACCGACGAAGAATGATGTCTTCTCTTCCCCTCCACCCTCTCTGGCGGAGCTCTAAACTGGTATTGCCGTCTTCCACCTGAGACAGTAGACTCATTTGAGGAACTGAGGAAACTGTTTGTCTCTCAACACATCTTTCAGACCAATCGCTTGCATTCTACAGATGACTTGTACACTATTTTCCAGAAGCCGGGCGAGTTACTACGAGAGTATGCCGGTCGCTTCAACCATAAGTATTCTCACTGCGCTG